GTTCAGCAGTTCTACGAATGTGCTCTATCGATGTCGCTAGGAAATCCACGTGCCTCGATAGCGCTACTACTTGCATACTGAGCACCGCTACAGGACGATTTGGGGCGTAATGTGTCCGGAGTCGCACCTTTGTCTTCAAAGTTATGGTAAAGACGTGATGACAATCAGGTAGACGTTGAATGCGCCCGACATCCCAAAAATTCTCAACATTTTCCAGTTTCGTTGAAAGCGAGCATTTTCTTAGTGAATCAGGGAATATGCAATGCACTGTGGTGAGAAATGTAGGCATGTTCCTTCAAACCAATAAGCCTTAACTGTCTCAACGCGATTTGAGCTGTGCTAAGATTTGATTTACATTTTTTGCGCAACCGCCTGAATCATGAAAATCACTGCAGTATTCACCCTTTACTGCCCCACTCCTCGAGAACTGAGCCGGGTTTTTATCGAAATTTGTCCATGACTGTGGATTTGGCTAGAAACTTGCCTTCAGGGGTAATTCGACCCGTAGAACACGAATATCACATTCGTTTACCGCTAGAACGCCTGGCGCTCGCGCCAGAAGCGCCGGCGCCAAAAGGCGCCAGAACATCTCGGATCACCAAATTCGCTGGAAACTTGTCTTCAGAGGTACTTTGACCCGTAGAACATGAATATCACATTAGTTTGTTGCGAGTGAGCCTGTAGCCTGCGCTACGGGCGCCCGCGCAAAACTGTTGTGATAGCGCCGGCGCCTGTGGCGCGGGCGCCAAGCGTTTTCGCGCTAAACCGGTATATTCGTGTTCTACGGGTCGAATACCCCTGGAACAACTTTCTAGCAAAATCCTTGGTCATGGACGAACTTCGATCAAAATCCTGCTCAGTTAGTGAGTGGGGGGCAAGGGTATATAGTGCCAAAATCGCTATGAAATTTGGCAGGTAGATCTCATTGAAGAAAATATTTTACGCAGAAGTATCGCTGAGTAGAATTGATTTGCGTCAGTGAATTCAGCGAATATGTATGAGTAGTGCGAAATCCGCTCGGGAAAATTTTTAAACCTATTGTGATGAAAGTTGACTCCAAATGCGTATCCACACGAAACTCTTCGCACTCCGCCTTTCCACTTGAGCGATCTCGCACAATACGTACATATGTGACACCTAGTCTCTAATACGAAGATCAGTGTCGAGCCCAAGAAACATATTTTTCCTTGGAATTCATGTGTTTTCGGAACACAACGTCAAGCCACTTACTTATGAAGTCACCTCAACGATCATCACTCACATCACATTATTCGAACGCGTTGAGTGAGAC